CAAAAAAGACCAGAATGATCGCTTTCAAGCTTCTCTCTGATAATACTACGATAGCACGAAATTCATTGCATAAATCTTTCAAGATTACTGACAAAATACCGTATTTATTCATAATAAAACAGTCGCCTCATGTTCTAAACTTGTGTTAATACACAATTAATTGTAGGAAAAAGTTTTTTATTTTGTAAAGATAATCTATACGAAAAATTTTTATAAAAATTATCGCATTCGATCGACACGAATGATTTAGAATCATCTTAAGAAAAAAATAGTATTCCGACTGTGAATATGGTAGTATACGTTTCTCTCGACCTCGACGATAATTTTGCAGCGCCAACTGATGCTCACGTTACGAAGTATCATCAGCTGAGCCCAAGCGTCGTAGACACAATAGCAGACGCGTTATTCATTAAGTAACGACGCGCACAGATAGGTTGGAACGAAAGAGCAGTTCTCTTCCATAAAGCGACGTACGCGATATGGTAGATTTAAAGACAAACGTGAGTTTCGCGTGCCAACGATGTTTGCAGCCGCTACGACTAGATTCGAGTTTCGATCATCTCGGAGAACATACTCTGGCCGAACTCTCACGTAGGTAATTTCTATTTTGTATTAGCATTTTGATATGCATTACCGTGTATTTGATTACCCCACTCGTCTCCCTTCACACTGATAACGCTTCTCTATATATTCTGATCGCTCATGATAATGCGTGACGCCCATTTAATTCATCCTCTTGATTTTCTCTAACTTTCTCTAAATAACTTGACTTTTTTATGAATTTCTTAGTAACTAACATTATGCATCTGTATATAAACAATGACTTACATAGTACATATATATATATATATATATGTATATCTGATTTGTTATACGCAGTATCATTTGACATAAAAGAGCTGTATCAGCTCTTAATTATTTGCAGTTTTTAATTATGTTGAAGATACTTAGTCTTAGTTTATATGTTTCAATGACATATATGTATTTGAATATTTAATAACAGAAATAAAATGATCACTTATTTTGATATAGCTATCTAGTATATAACAAATTTTATAATTGTTATTTTATTGTAGTTCCTATACAACAACAAGTTGTTGGAGAATTAGAACCTCAGAGTGATAGTATAGAACACTTAGTTCCACCATTTAGGTTGACTGAATCAGGAAATGGTACAAATGGATTTATGTTAGTTGGTGATTCTGGTGAAACAGAAAGCTTAAGTCATCATTTAAAGGTAGGTAAAGAGATTTGGAAAATATTTTTAATATGTTAATGAAATCTATATATCTGCAACTTGTGCTTTCTAGGTCCGAGCAACATTATTTGATATTCTTAGCAGTAGTAGTTCGGCAGATCATCCACTTTGTGATGAATGTACAGATAGTCTTCTGTTACTAATGGATCAGCAATTACGAATGACAGAAGGGGAATGGTCAGATTATAATGAATACCTGAAGAAACTCGAAATTGAACAACAATATCAAGGACACGAAGATGTGGAGATGGAAAACCTGACAAAAGAATTGCAAGATGTTAAGGCTGAAGAAGAAAGAATGATAAGAGAATTAGAAGCGTTGAGGAAGGAAGAAATAGCTACGAGGAATGCTATAGCGGAACAAGAGAGAGAAAGGGAGAGATTGCAAAGCGAAGAGGACAGGTATTGGAAAGAGTATTCAAAGCACAGAAGAGACCTCATGTTAGCTGATGATGAATGTCGCAGGTAAAATCTCTCAAAATAGTTAAATATTTTTTTTTCTCATAAATATATAAAATAATAATTTATTAATATCCTTCTATTACATAAAATCAAATATTTTTCTTCATAGTCTGGATAATCAACTGGCGTATGCAGCTTCACAACTCGAGAGATTAAAGAAAACGAATGTTTTTAATGCCACATTTCATATCTGGCATTCAGGCCATTTTGGAACAATAAATTCATTTCGATTGGGACGATTGCCGAGCGCGCCAGTAGATTGGAGTGAGATAAATGCTGCATGGGGACAAACAACTCTTTTACTAGTGGCTCTCGCGCGCAAAATGAATTTAACATTTAAGCGTTTTCGTTTAGTACCATTTGGCAATCACAGTTATATCGAGGCTTTGGATCAAAACAAAGAGCTTCCATTATATGGGAGTGGAGGATTTAAATTTTTATGGGACACAAAATTTGATGCAGCTATGGTGGCATTTTTGGATTGTTTACAACAATTTAAAGAACAAGTAGAAAAAGGAGATAGTGAATTTTGTCTACCATATAGGATGGATCGAGGCAAAATTGAAGATTCTGCTACGGGCAACTCCTATTCCATAAAGTATGTCTGGATATTACAAATATGAATGTGTGTTGTGTATGTGTAAGAAATTCCCATAAAAAATATTTTTATCTAATTTTTCTTTCTATTTCAGAATACAGTTCAATTCGGAAGAACAATGGACCAAGGCCTTAAAGTTCCTACTAACAAATTTAAAATGGGGTCTTGCATGGGTTAGTTCTCAATTCACAAAGGACGAATTGAATACTAATTGAATATCAGTCCCCTTGTAATTTTATGTACTTTAATTGTGCAACTATGCTCTATTTGTAAATAAATACGATTGACCGATAGTATTTCATTTGCAATATTTTATCGTTTTTCTAGATGATAAAGTAAAATAATTTTTATTTTCATTTTATTCAACAATATTCAGATTTATTAAGAAAAAACCAAGACACACCGTATAAGAAACTGGATGGACTTTGTACTTCCTTGGATCTTATATAATCCTTCAGCTCAGGAATGCTTAATTCAACTATTTCTATGAGTTCACCTTCAGATTCGTCACCACCACCTATAATGATAAAAAAATTCAAATTAGGCATTATAACAAAATAATTTTCTTTCAAGCTAAGAGAGAGTAATAAAAGAGATATTTTTAAAATTTACAATCAAACTTACCAGGGTGTATATGCATGGCATCTGTAACTTCCACATAGAAGAGAGTTTGCTTTGCACTAGCAGAAGCACTAGATCTAAAAATCACAAAAATACGATAAACTTTTAATAATTATATTCTAGATATCAGATTTCTTTTGTCGCAATATATAAATTATATTTTTTTATATCGCTTCTAAATTTGACAAATATATTTATCATTGATACGTTGATGATATAACAACAGAAGAAAACGACTAGAGCATAAGTAAATATTTCAGACTTACAAGTAGGTAGTAATTCGCTCAAATGCCGAAATGGGTGCTTCGTAGCCACATTCTTCTTTCAATTCTTCCCTGGCGATTTCGACGAGAGATTTGTCCTTGTCCACGATACCAGCGCAGAGTTCCAAAGTTAGCCCCAATGTTGCGGGATAACGTCCAACGTCGATCATATCTTGCTTATTCGATAGGGATGCGTAATATACCGCTGGTCGAAATTGCTTGACAAACACGAGCTTTCTTCGACTTGTGTTGAAAACGATTATACACACGCTATCGTGAATCCTTATCACATCCCACTCCTTGAGCTGATTGTCTTGCGTGTAATGCAGTCGGATACTCCTCAACCACGGCGAATCCTGTGGGACCTTTCCCACACGAATGTCATGCAAATCGAGCATCCTTTTACGAACGGCTCGGTTCCTCTCATCTTGTGTCGTGGTGACATTCATTTCTTCTATCAAAGTACCACGAGAGTGGCACGAATCACCGAATATAAGCCGTTCTCTTAACTCCCGTCGATAACGATGACGCATCTCTCAAGCGCGCGCATAGGCCACAGATGACGCACGTGACATTAAACCAAGCGCCAGAATACAAATTTAATGTATAAATAAAACGAAAACACCATAATCTTATAAATATCTGGCTTGATTAATGTCTCAATTAGCGTGATGGATCTTGGAAATAAAATTGCATATTCATCGGATTGAATTTCAAATAAACATTTTTAGTTGAGATAACGTATTACGATACTACTTAATCATATAGAGAAGATAATGTAAAGTTTGTTCTGGCACAACATAAAATACGCCTTGTCTTTTTTCTTGATCAGGAAATATTTTTTCTAAAAAATTAATCACATTTTGAAAGTGACAATAAATAACTGTTTTATATATATATATATAGACGTAGCATGTTTCTCTTTCTATCCCATCAAGTAAGTCGGTTATTTTATAACATCAAGATATTAAATTTATGAGGAATGTGTAATCGTTTTCCCCCATCTCTTCTACGGGAAATTATTCTTGCAATTAGTCGAGTGAACCGCGAAAAGTATGGGTTGCACGTAATCGAATTTAACGCGTCGTATAAAATTAGGATCGGTATAACGTAACCGGTCGCACAACGTGCGCCGCACTTAAATTTTCGGTGAGATGCAAACCTCCGATAAAGCTGCTTCCCTTTCACGATCGTGCCAGGATAACGAGCCAAGGAGGGAAGAGAGGGAAGGCGAAGGTTTCGTTATTTCTTTTCCCTCTTTTCTCTTTTAATTTTCTTCTCTTTTATCGCCTTTGGCACTTCGTCCGTCGGCTTAAATGCATCGAGGATCTCTTGCTGCCTGACTTGAGTTTCCACGTGAATCACATCGGGCTTCTTGCGGTACTTGTTGATCGCCGCCGGTGGTGAAAATTCGATTTCCATATCCGATGCCGTGGAGCTCGACGCAACCGAAGCATCGTCCTTATTGCGGACTATTTTAAATTGCAGCGGCTTCATTGGTTCTTCGAGATGTGGCACATCCGTGGTCTCCTGCCTGATCGGATACATCGTCACGTAATACGTGCCGTCCTTACGGTGAATGTGCAGCGTCGGAGGTGGTTCCATCTCTTCCTCGCCCTCTTTCTTTACTTGTGACATGTAACTTATGCTCTTGTATATTTTGTCGTGTCGCAAGCTGGTGCGCGAAGGTGTTGACTGGGTCTTCGGCTGAGTCTCCATTATAGAGGTGCCCTTCGCTTCCTTCAGCAACTCGTTCAAGTAACGTCCGATCGCGCCCGGCTTCCAACCGATCCGTGGTTTGAGCTTGCCTACCGTCTTGCTCGTGGTCCACAGCCAGCCCATGTTAGCCGGTATTCTAAATCGCGGATCGATACAAGTCTTGTGGCCGTAATTAGTCCCGGGATAGATGTCGCCAATAGAATAGACGTAGCGCATCACTCGCCTACTAACTTTGATGGGACCCTTATCGATATCACCCGCCGGACCTGGTTTACTTTTTAGATATCGTCGAGTTTTGATAGATTTGCCAGCGGTTTTTGTGGTGATCGTGCTTGGTATCGGTTTTTCTTGAGGTTCCTCAACGGTCTCATGCGGTACCATCTGATTATTTTTACGTTTCTTCCGGCGAGATTTGCACTTTGGTTCACCACAAGGACCAACGTTGACATCCAGCGGCACAATGTTCGTAATATCTTGTTCTTTTTGCTTTTCCAGCTTCTCTTCTTTTTTGTCCTCTTTCTTCTTCGGCTTAACAGCGACCGGGACTAGCGTTGCTACCGGTAATACTGGTATCGCTTCGCGTACAACTCCAGTACGTCCTGGAACCGCTGTCTGTATGGGACTCGATGTGGCTTGAGGTATAAAAAGGGTGCTGACGATAGGTGTACCAATCTGCGTATTGCAAGGAGCGGGACATTGAATCGGCGTTACGGGATATTTTTGCTTTTTCTCGCTCGGTGCTTCCGGAACGGCGCAATCCTTCTTCTGTACGTCTCTACCAAAATAAGGACTCTCGGATGGATCCATTAAGCCAAGACCTACCAAACCCGGCACCTTGCCAAGAGAATCCACAAATTCTTGAGCTTCCTTGAAAGCGCGAATCATGCAATCCGCGCCCACACACGGTTTCTTTGTGCATCTAAACGCGCCCGTTCTCCTAGACGGAGCCTTTCCTGGACAAATGCAATCCTCAATTCTATCCGTGTTTCTTGGACGAGAGCTAGCACCCGTTTTCTTGCTCTTTTCATATATGACATTCGTCGCGTTGGAAAGCGCGTAGGCTGATGTATAATCGCTTCCACCCATCATGCGATTTTTCATGTTATTCTCATGCCATGTGTGCTCTTCATCCCATAACTCTTCGTTATTTAAATAATTATTTTCTATGTTCTCACCACCCCTCATTCTCGTAATATCACGATTGGCCAAGTTTGAGACAGCATCTGGTTTTAAATCAGAATCGTCGGAATAGTGAGCAAGTGTAGCGAACGATGGGAAATGTTTAATAGCATCAGGATTTCTTAAAGCCATGCAACAAGAACGAACACATCCGGAACGACACATCATTGGATGCATTGATTGGTTAATTGGTGGACACGAGCAAGTCGACTCGTCCGGATAAATCTCATAGATCAAACTGCGATATTTACGATCATTCAGTTTCTCGGCGCTCGTTAATTTCTCGAATCCTGGTTGACCCATTGATATACAAGGTGACGATTCCGGTCTCGTTAATACAGACTTTATTTTGGTATTGTTGTTTTGATTGTATAATTTTGAGTACGATGGATCCAGAATTTCGCGCAATAACAAGGTTTTGTCGTCGTATTTTTCCGTCACGCCATTTATGTCTTTATTGGATAATTTTGTGCAAGGAAGTTTCCCACCGAAAGGAAAACCTCTTAGGACGAATGATTTTTCATGAAGCGTAAGGTGATTGATAATGGAGCTCCCGAAACACGATAATCTCAGAGACATCGATATAGATCCACAGGGATTACCATATTCGTCGGTCAAGGTGTAAATCTCTGTTAACATATATGATTCCGATAGCCCGTCTATCTTGTCCTTAGCAGCGGCTACACGATCGCAAAAATGTCCTGGCAAAAATGCCGTTGCCGCGCAGAGAAGAACCTGACAAGTGTCATCCTGCGGGTTATGGTCTCCCTCGCGAGAAACCTTATACACTTCGACACTCAGAGGAATCGATTTTACAGATCGTATTAAATTGCTCGGTGTCTGGATAAGTAAACATGTCTTGCCTTCGCAGTTGACATCAGGAGATCGATTTTCTTTGTTCCTAGTTCTGCCATTAATCTCAGTTGATTCTTCAACGATAATGTCAACGGGCATGAGATCGATGAAATTTATACGTATCATTAAATTACACTTTTTATCATTGACTACCTTTTCAGGACATAGATTTAGACGATCGATAAGAATTTCAAGCATGTACAATTGTTCCCCTTCTAATTTTGACATCTTCTTTCTCTTCAAAGCCATTTTAGTAGAATTGAAAATAAACACGCGCACGAATTAATTATAATAAACACGTTGTCAGCTACACGACAAATTTGGAAGGCAATTTCGGATTGACGTTAACGATACGTTTATACAAAGCACGCCATTAATTTTGCGAATATTTTGGGCCTGAAATCGAATGATTTTCACGCGCGTACATCAATCAATTGACATTACCTGTTGTCAAATGGTTGTCATAACGATATATCGAAAATAATTATGAAAATATAAGAAGTCGCACTTCAGAGTTTTTAAGAGACATCTACAGAGATCACTTTTAGTCTTTCTTCTTCTTCTTAGCCTTTTTCTCTTTCTTATCTTTTTTAACTTTCGGTTTTATCAATGCCACGTCTTTCACAATTTTCTCTTCGAGAAGCTCAGGCGATACGAATCGCTTTACGCAGATCTCCCGTTCTTCGTCCTGTTCACCGGAAACGAAAGATTTCGGATGTAACTCGTAATGTGTCTTGAAGATGCGTCCGAGGCATGCGACGATGAGCTCCATGTGCAGTGTTCCGGACGGATTTTCCCCCGGATCTATAAGATTAAAGCCGCCCTTCATTACGAATGGCTTCGGCTGACTTTCAGGATCGTTACTGATCATGGCGATCTGATCGCACAAACAGCCTGGTAGGGTCAATTTAGTTTCTGCTATAGGATAAGTTTCGTCCCCACGAAACACACCGATCCTCAAGTTCGATGAGCGTAATCCTTGGACCAAATCTCGCGGTCGCTTGGCAAACAGGCAGCATTTACCGATCATAAAGCGCACGTCCTGATCAGGTTTCAACACATCCGTTTTATCCCGCGTGAATTCGAACACGGGGAAATCTGAAAGCTTGATCTTGATCACGATAGGATACTCGCCGACGTCTTTGATTTTTTCAGGCGTCAACGTCAGTTTATCGATTAGTATCTCGAGTAGGTAGATCTGCTCGTCGTGACCGCCGAAACAAGACATGACGTAATTGAAAGCGTTTCTCGCAAAGAATCAAGTTGTTGTCTCTGATTAAGATTTGAGTCGTCGATATTTATGTCGAGGTAGCTGAAATAATTTTGTAACTGAAAAATTTGAAAATCCTGATAATATTGCGTAAAACAGTTAGTAAAATTTTTTAACCGAAAATTTGGAGGTTTAAAAATACCGTGAATGATTGACAGATGGAAAATAACAATAGAATGACAGTGATAATCTTAACGTGATAATCAGCAATTAACTCGGCTCGTATGAGTTTATTCACGTAATATATGATATATCACTCGCTTCTTTAATTACAGAACAAATCAAACTTAGGGAAACGTACGAGATAATGATCGAAAAAGATTAACTTGATCAACGTTGCGTATAAAATGTTCTTTTAACGTGAAGATTGGATTTTAAATACCGTCTCGCTTAATCTCTTCCGCGTATGTGTGTACGCATATACCGTCATCGATGTGCGAACAGCGAAAAAAACCTATCAACTTACGGTCACGTACATCCCATCCACTATCCGCGCGACTCTTCGGCGTTTCTAATTCCACTGGCAGTTATTACTTAGCTCCTAAGGTGGTATATACTTAAAGTCAACGACGCAAAAGATGCTGCTAGAACCGTTACGAAAACCTTGCGAGAAAGACACCCTCGCGAATTCATTGCTTTCCGTATTCTTTATCAGAAAAAATAATTTTTCCACGTGATGATTTTTGTGTACTTGTAAAACGCATGATTTGCTTACTGTCGGTGCCTTGAATCGGCAACAATCAAGTCTCATTAATTAGAAAATGAAGAAGAAAATAGAGAAAGAGGCGCATCTCCTAACCTACTTTTTTCATTTAAGAATCAATCGTCGGGCCGATGGTTAGCGAGTAATCCCGCCAACGAGATTTCTCGAGGATTTGGGATGGGGGTCCCATTCCGTCCAGATTTCGGCGGGAACTGCGTCCCCCTAAGACACCGAAGTATGCACTAATTGGTACGGGCGCGCGCGCGCACACACGCACACACGCACACACACATGCACGCACATGGTTCAAGGCGAGATAGGCAGAATACGACAGAATGGACCAAACAGAATGGACCACGGGACGAGATATATCCTGAACATTGTAGACGCTCATCCGAAGCGTGGTGGAAGCCCATCCAGTCCTCGGACCAAAGTGAAATTCCGGACCCGGGCGACACGGCGGCTCGTTAAAATGCTTCTGGGAGTTTTGGGCACGGGACGGCTCCTCGGATAATTGGTGATTAGCGATTAAAACGAACGGATGTGTGCTCGCCGGCTGGTCCTGCTCGTCCGTCTCGCTGCCTTTTCCTTTTTCCCCGCGAGTCGCCGACCACGCGGACGAGGTCCATAAGGTCCGCGTCTTAGAGGGACTCTCAACGCTCCATCCATTTCATCTCGTGTCCTCAAGGTAACGGTGACGGTCCTCTCGTTTCCTGCACCCGTCTTTTTCTCCTCGCGAAAGAAGCGTCTTTTAATCGTGCGACCCAACCGTCAGGATCGCTTTTCTCGTCTCGACTCGTTCTTCTTTCTTTATAAGGGTGCGCCTGGGAATCTCAGTTGCCCGTGAGTCCGCGACGATAATCGCAGAGGTATTCGAACGACCGGAAATAACGATCGAACGGCTGGACGTTAATTTGTCGCGGATTCTTTATGCCGGAAGGAACTTATTATTCTTTTAGCGTTTGCACCATAAGGTAATCTCGAGGACTAATTTCTATTCTCATTCGCACAATGTCTTTCGCGCTCTTTAAGCTTTTATTCTCAAGCGACGAATATTACACCATTCCATTTCCTCTTACGACAAGCATCAGTTAACGTATATACACTAGTGTTACTTTAAATAAGATACTGTGCAAACAATAAATTTTCAAAGAATTAAACAATGCGTTCAGTAATTATGCACATTCAGGACTGATCTCATAACATCTTCGCTGTCGTAATTTGTGTATTTACGTCAGAAACTCACGAGCTTGAACAATGGCAACAGTACTCGGAGAATAGTCCGTAATCAAATTAAGTGTCACGCGTCTGCTTAAGGATTAATCACTGTAATCAACGATCTTTCCACGATGGCGCGCCGTGCGATGGATATCCCCTATTTCCGGTTCCATCGATGACCGTTATCCGAAGAACCTCAACATACTCAAGAGGACGAAATGCACTTTGCGACAAGATGAGACTGTCACGTAAATCTTTCATGTTACGATCTAAATACATTACGCTATTAAATCTATTTTTCCCGCCTCTTAAGTGGTTAAATCATTTAATTATAAATACTCTAAAGAAATTTTTGTCACGTGTCTAATATAAAATATTCTATAGAATTTATACGTTTGCGATATATTACGATATTAAATTCGATTAATATTTTTAAATAATTCATCGTATTTAAATTAAACATCAGTTCGACTCACGTCGTATTGCGTTGCATCGGACTGAAGTGTTGACGACATCTAGTGTCCTTTGGTTATTTGCAAAATGTCGCACGTACGAAAGAGACTCCGAAATTCGAGCATCGTGTCGCGCTTAACTTGTAAGTATCGTTCTAATTAATTTCGCGTTTCCGATATCCGTTGTTATAAATCTGATGTTAACATAATGGCAACATCTTAAAATACATATTTTGTTAGATTTGTCGACGATCGAAAATGTCGCAAACAGTCGATGACGCATCATAATCTCGAATATTACGCTTTATGAATATTTAATCCCGACGGCTTGTATAGTGTATTCGTTTATCTCATGATATAAGATAACAATCGTCTATAAATGCGCGGACAAATATTATTCATTAAACTTAAAATGGTATAAACATAAAGAAAGCAATTGGAGCGACAAGGACAGCATGCGGTAGGTAGGACGTGAAGTTACGCGCGCGTCATCACGTGATCTCCCGCGCGTTTCTCTATGTCGCATCGCTCGAGAAATCGTCCGTTTGTTTAATTGTCGGAAATAAATAAACGGAAATATATTGGTCTGTTCAATCATCTTTTCGATATTGATTTATTACGATAGTGCGGAATGTAAGTGATTCGGGAGTGCGTAATTCAGGAGTGATGTACAAAAAGTCGCGCGGCCGTCATGTTTTGATTATATTCGTTGCGTAATCATAACCTTATTTGCATAAATTGTGAAGAAACGTCATGGAGCAGGAAGACAGGAGAGGAGGGGAAAACGACAATTACCTAGAAAATTTTGAACTCAATCAATGTTTGTTTTTTTTTTTTTTTTTTTAGTTATTATTTAGCTACATTACGATTAATGCGGGAGTGTCGTATAAAGTGTCGCATTGTGATCGTAACTTGATTTTCGTGAGTGTTATGCAAGTGCAACAAGGAAGCAGCCATGATAAAACGAGAGAGGAGACTTCATAGTCATCAGACATCGATGAAGCAACCGTAGGTGAGTAATTTATTATGTTTATTTATCACTTAAGAAAAATTCAATTTATGACTATAGAAATGCATTATATAATATGAAATATTATAATTATATAATATTTCACGGATCCAAAAATATTTTTTGCCTTGATGAAGCGGGCTGATAATTAATTAGCGGAAATATTTAATTTTAAAAAACATAATCCCGTTTATCCATTCAATTCATCCATTTTATTTGCATAAGCATTGTGTAATAATTATTATTGATTAATTTTACGTGCAATGCAAATTATTCAATGTTAATTATTTTAATAAGACATCTCTTTTGAGGAACTTCAATCAATGCGAAGAATATTTTAATGAATATATTGCATATTATTTTTTCCAAAATTTTTTCATCAAAGTTTTTGTTAGATAATGCGAAATTTATTAAGCGACAGTGTATCTATCATCTGAATACGCGATGGAATTAATATTAATGATACGCGATCAATTCAAAAGAAAGTACGTCGAGATTGTACGATTCGACTCGTTCGCCGGAATAAAAAAAAAAAAAAAGAGACATCACGAGCGGAGCCGGAGTCGGAGTCGGAGTCGGATTTTCGATGATCTAGATCTGGGGTAGCACCAGGAAGCCGGGATCGAAGACAAAATTACCGGTGTCGGTGGAAGGAGGCCTCGTTCGCTCGCTTCGAGAGGTCAGAGGGCGATAGCGGT